CCCCCCGTACAGGAGACGGAACCTCCATTTATTCGTCCCTATCTGAATGCCCTATCCTATCCGTGACCTATTATAGGGCGTATATTTAAGGTAATATTTGGCCATAAAAATAAGGTTGAGATGTGCACGGTGTCCAAGGTAACAACGAGCTTCCTAGTTAGACACCATAATGGTCATAGAAATAACAGCCTATACTAAGAATAAATCAGCAGTAAACTAAAGTAAAGCAAAATAATCAAGTTTGATTATAAGCAAAAGTTGGCATTTCCATTCTTTCTTAAAGGTATTATAGGGCATATATTTAAGACTGGTGGGTATGCTTTTAACAGATCTTTGAACCAGAGAAATTGAATGATGATTTTCCCATGTTAGTGGATACTCTTGGTTTGAAAGAATTGAAATTACTAGCAAATCTTGTATTATAATTATGTTTTTTCCATGCTAGGGTCAGGAAATCAAGGAAGACATCTGAAATGCTATCAGTTCTATTCTTAATCTTATGTGCAAGGTAGCATATTCTGAATTTATATATACCATCTAATTTTAAAATTCCTACCAGTTTATAATAGGGACTAGCACTCACTAGCATGTGCAAAGAAGATGTTACTGAGACATTTGTTCTGCTTAATACAAAGACAATTTAGTTTAGTTTTGGTGGCACAGCCCCAGGAAATAATACCATAGCTTAAATAGGGTTAGATCAAAGCACAGTATATTTGTTTTAGCATATTAAAATCTACCTTCCACTGATACATGTAGCTGACAAACTTCATCATATTTTCCCCACATTTATTTAAGCAATAGAACACATAAAGCCATGTAGGATGCTGGGAGAACATGAGGAAAGCTAAAAAACATGAGCAGAAAGGGAGTGATTCATAAGCTTTCTGAGTGTTCTTTCAATACTCCAAGTGGCTTTGTCACAAATTTAAACAAAATACTATTAATCCAGCAGCCATTTATGAAAGTGGTCTATTGAGCCCAAAAAAATGCGTTCCTTTGCTTTTATGACATAACTAGTTACTTGTGGGCTTGATAACATGATAAAACATCTTCTTGGAAATTGAACTGACCAAAGACAAAGCATATATACTATGTCCATTATGTTACAAGACAGCATAAAAGTGATAGAAAGTTCTGCGTACTGCCTCATTCCAATTGTACTAATTCTTCTTCATTTGGTACTGACTTCAGTATGTCAGGAATGAATAAAATACTGGGCTATGTTCACTGTTAAGCTGTTGTTATATATAAAAAATAAATCATATTTTTAATTTTTACTGGAGGGCACACTTCTTGGAAGTTGTTGATTATTCTTGTTATTCAAGATTATTCAACGTATTCAAATTAACTTTTACAAAGCAAACCAGTGATTTAAAAAAGCGAGGCAGCCTTAGGAAAGCGAAAATATCAGAGACGTTGCCTGTAAACCTTCTGTGACAAAACAGATGTTAAGATATAGTCACAGTTTTCAGTTTAATTTTTCGATAACTCTCTCGATGGAAAAGGCGGAAAACTTAAAACGTATTTTAAACACAAGAAAAGTAATCTACGTTATTTAATCAATCGTTATGCGAAAAAGAGCGATGAATTGGGATTACTTTCAAACAAAAATACACACATTGCTGACATCAGAAAACAGCTGTTACGTTCATTAACATTCAAGGCACAAAAACTACGGTTATCGAAAAATAAGAGGGCAGCTTTTAAGAAAAACAGGCCGCTTTGAAAATCTCTTTTCCCTTGATACAACAAAATCTCTGACATTTGATTATTATGTAAAAATACATCGATATAAGTTCCTTTTCAAATGCGTGTTCACTCATTTCAATACAAACAAAGGTCCAGTCATGCACATTGCCAAAGCTTAGACCAATAGGGACGCAGTTCCAGCGATATTTCTCGATTGGACGGTTTTAAATTCACGACTTACAGCGACGGGTTCAATTTCTAGAGACCTGGTAAATTCTAAAGTTCATAAAAATCAACGATGTGATGGTTTTTATTCGTGGCCTATGCGAAATTTCAGTACGTTTGGCCCTCAAAATGGCGCATAACAATAGCGAATGGACCGCGTCTTTGGAAGAGAGATCGAACACGAGTCGACAATATCTCTCACTAATTCCGAATACAACATGATTTCTATTGGACTAAAATTCTTGTTGAGTGTGAAAAGCTATTTAACAGTACTTACCATGGTTATTTGTCCATTTCCATTAGAAACAGCAGTTGTGGTTATTGTTCCGGCCGCAGGATTAAATTCAACAGGGTTCGCCATAAACGTTCTCTGATCAGGACTTCCGAACATTTGTAAGGCATGTTGCTGCGAAGGATCGACGATGTAGAGACCTTTTCCCTGATCAGGCTGTATGAGATTTACTGTAGTATGCGATGCAGGGACCGTGTGAGTGACTGTCGCAGTATTCTGCGCAGCGTAGTTTGTCAGTTGTGGGGAAGTTGGAGCTGCTTCCATCGCCATTTTTGAAGTTTCTCCTAGCCAAACTCATGAATATTTGATTGCTAACCAATGAAATATGATACGAGACTGGGAACTAAGTCCTAGATTCTTCTATTTCACCTCTCAGTATCGTTTCTGTTTCCTTGCACAAATATGGTGGAAAAAAAATTATATTACTTAATGACGAAAACATTAACATAGAAAATCTGTAAGAGTTAGGGTCTTATTTCGACAGACATTCTCACTTTGACATAGCTGGCACACATACCACAATCACAATTCATCACAAATGCAAGTTTTCTGTAGTGTGGGGATCCTCCTTTCGCAACCATTACCTTCTTTGTTATTTACAAACACAAAATTTTTAACAGGTATTTCCGTATTTTTTTTAATCATTACTAAACTTAGGTTGTCATTGTGAAAGTAAATTAAATGACCAGCCCTTATTCTTCCTTGAAAGCTACCATCAGTGCATGTCAACATTAAATTTTTTCAGGAGCTTTTTTTTATCATACTTGTATATAGGATAAATTTTTACTCCAACTCCTTTACCCTTTATTCCAAACCATTAACTACCAGTACATGTGACCAATCTCTCTGAGAAAAGTGACATGTTCTTAATTAAAAAACAACTAATTTCAAATGATAAGGTAAATTAAGAAATGTCATGCATCAAAGTTATACAATTTAAAATAAAATTTTCAGGAGTGGCGACACTGCTGGTAAACCACGACAGAAATTAACTGTCAACCTCTGCAACTCCTCCACTGTTTGGAACAGCTGCAAAGACCAGAAATCCTTAGACACCAGAGCTATTTCTGGATTGATGTTATGTGGGTAAGGGGCCAATAAGATCCAAGATGGCAAAACTATAAGGTTCTATAAGACAGTAACTATGCTATATCATTTGTGGTTTCTGAAATTTACTGATTTCCAATGTAATTGGCAATGATGGTAATCATAATGTCTTGGGTGTTGACATTATTCTGAGTTTCAACAGTAAATGTTTCACATCTAACTTACCTTTTTTCAAAATTGACCCAACAACAGAGACATGACCAGGGAATCAGAGCTTGCAGAAGTGCTTTATTTGTTTGTATTTCAAAATAACATACAGTTGTATACAATGCTGGCTTTGAAAAAAATTTATGACAAGGAGATCAGGCATGTATATCACAAAAGAAAAAGTAGTCACAAGTACCACAGTTTGAAACAGAAACAACAACAAAGAAACTGGATTTTGAAATACAGCAAATGGAAAGGGTAGAATATCAACCTCTTAACTACACAAACCTGACTACACCTACTACTTCTCTCTTTAAATTAGTCAGGAAAGTTGCAGTTTGGCTGACAGGTTTGTCTCTTTTTCTCTACCTGCTTCTTCCATAACACATTGGAATTTGGAAGAAACTCTGGAGAGTTTAAGGAGTTAAAATATTTTGAAAAGGTGATACAAAACATATTCAACAAACAAGGAGGATTGAAAATATTTTGTCTTAGGTTTCTGTTAGAACTTAACTACAGCATCTGGCCAAAAGAAAAATTTGGATGAAACTCATGACAGACTCACTTACTAAATGCCCTAAGAAAATTGAATGTACAAAATAACAAGGACTATCTAGTTAACATAGTCTAGTGGTCTGTTGAACCCTCCTCTTCTGTTCATATATTGTCTATTGAAGAAAAAACAACACAAAATGAATATCACTGACACAACTTTCTGAGAGGTACAAAGAAAAATCTGCTCATCAGAATTCTCCTTGGAGCTAAATATTTGATTTGCAGTAAATCCCATCTTCTTACAAGGGGAATATAGTAGAAAGATGTTTTCTTCGTCTAGTCATGAGTGTAGGAGAAAGAAAAAATTCTGAGTCCCCATGAGGAATCAAACCTCAGACCTAAGGATTCTGCATTTTAATGCCCTACCACTGAGCCACAAGACTCTATGGTGAGCAAGGCCCATTACAAAGTTTACATATGACACCTGTTGTAATATTGCCGTTCTGTATGTTAAGATTGGGCTTCCTGTGCCCTGCCCGCATTTTGCATGGCCAGTGATTTCACTTTATGGCTATTTATTACTGTGACCGCCATTTTGTATTTAGTCTTGGTTATGTTCTAAGTGAAGTAAGGCCTATTTAAGGCTCTATTTCAACAACACCCATCTTGCATACTGCTAAGATTGGCAAAGGGAATGTTAATGATTCAAACCCTGAGGGCCACCAACATCTAATTTACACTTACAGTTATACTAATACTACTTCCTCCTTTTATTAAATCATTCATAAAGATCATGAGAATATAGGAAATGATGGCCAACCTAAGAAGCTTAGATTGTTACACAAATTCCCTCTGCCAGTTCCCAAGAAATGTATTGAGCAGAGCATGGAGAATATGGATGCTGATATTAAGGTGAAAAGGGTTTATTGTAACTCCATCAAGTTGACTTGTGATTCTTCCTTCAACTTGCAACCTAATCATGGTACAGTATATCAAGGGTAAAATTCTCTTGCCAATATAAACTTCAGAACTCCTATCACCTGTTCCCAGGAAAATGAGCTGATAGCATAAGGAGAAATTGCATGTTGAACACACAGGAGTTAAGGGTTAAATTTGTACTAAAAAGAAGTAGACATAATTATTAAGACTTAAACTTATAGGCAGTTACCTGTATTTGTTAGCTTTTTTTACACTGGTATAGCTTGAATTACATGCTCCAGCCACATGCTTACCCTGGAAAGGATATGTATAAAAATTATGTATATACTAAGCATTTAGCTTGTCATTCAGCCAACAAATGCTTCTATTTACAGTCAAACCTACCTGGTCACATTGTCTACCAACAATTAGATTCATATTTTCAATTATGATCCATCAAATATTTTTGCCTGTGTGCAATTGGTCTTAACACATCATGTGACTAAATATTCCCTAGCTAAACCTGAGGACTGTCCAAGGATGTCACCCATTCCAAAAGTGATATTCAAGATGAGAAAATCTTTTGTGGTTGTTACAGAAGAAGGGAAATATTTTTTTGGCTCATAAAATCATACCAGAGAACACCCAAAAGAAAACATTCCACACAGCAAACAATAAGCTGTTTGCAAACATTTTTTCACATCCATTGCAAAGTATTTGAAGAAAAATTAACACAATAGTCTCTATTTTGTGCAAATATGGTTACAAGTATATTTTTCCTTAGATGTTATCTGTTCCTTGAAGCACACAGTTTCTCTCAAACTTTGTTCTCAGAAAACTGTTCACATCTTGGAACAGATAATGTCCATGGACAAATGTCTGTACCTATTTTTCATGCCAAAAAGAGGATATTGTTAATTTATCCAGACTTTCCATTATCCTAACTATCAAGCCGGGTCCCCATGAGTGCAGATAATTGTGGTTTGACCATATTAGGTACTAAGTGAACACAACTGGTGCATGAAGATCACAATAACCTTAGTTGAATCAAAATTGGAGAATCCCATCATTTTCATCATGGCCTCCTCATCTTCATTAGGAATCTCTACACCATCTGAGAAAGGGAAGAATTACAAAATACCCAAATTATGTAATGTCTTAATTAAATTTAATAATAATGTTATTGAATAACACAGGGTTGTCATTGAAAAATCTATGATCTGAGCTGAGTAGGTGGCTAATTTGAATTATGCTTGTGTGGCATGCATGCATGTTAAAAAGCAAAATGCCCTTGGGGGGGTCTGGAAAATTATGAAATTTAAAACTCTCTGAAATGTGATTTCTTGCATTCTGAGACATATTTGAGTAACTTTTATTAGCCAGACACTGGTGTAAGAATCAGTTACTTATTTTCTGTCTTTGATCACAATTCACAAAGTGGCTGGTGTACAGCAGCTGTTTCTGCCACCTACTAGCTTCTAATGACAACTCTGTGACACCTTCACTCCAAGGAGAGTTCAGTGATTAAATTACTAATTTCAAAATACTGTAAAAGAGACAGGTAATGAGAATTAAGGAAAGCATCTACTCAGGGAAATTGTTTGGATTTAATACCAAATTCTCAGCACTGGCCAAAAAAGAAATTATATATCAACATGAGTTGAGAGAATCTGCATTCTGATGTCAGAGGTTTAAAGTCTAAGAGTATGTCCATACCTACTGCAGCTTCTGTTCCATTGTCACCTTCTGTTGAGATATCATTTTTATCTGTTTTCCTTTTATCTGGAGACCTGACCATAATAGAAACAATTACCCAATTTAGAATCACTGACTACTTTAGCCATTCTTAGATAAGGGAAACAAAGCTTAGGTAAGGAGATCACAATATGAAGGAAATTGGCTTTTGCTCATTAGGAGGTTGAAATCCACTCACTATGAATTAATGGGTTTCAAAGAAATTTTCTTTCAATACCCAGAGTCCAGTACACGAACTGTTGACAATTTCACTCCCAAGATCTCATTACTAATCCTCCATACTGTCTTCTATACAATTCTCATGATGTTAGTTTGGAGAATTTGGTATTGTATCAACTGATAATCCCCTAATTAAGGGATTTCATTAAGGGCAGGCACTGGGGAAATGAGCAGTTGTGAGGACGGTTCTGCCCACCTGGTTTGACGATCTAGAGGAGAGTTTATCTTAATATAAAAAGTTCACTTCAAAAAGTTTTGCCTACTTGTGAAAACCAGTTGCCCTCCTGCTGAAAGCATTAAATGACACCCCTGTAATTGATATTTTTTTTATTTACTCATCACTTGTCTACTTGATTCTGTACGGAGAAATTCTGTCTTGGTCAATCAAGGGAGTTAGAGGGTTAAACCACCAGTTCTCCACTAAACATATTAGGTATGTAAATATCATCTTGACAATTATACAAAAATATTTATCTTATAGGGGCTTTTAAAGCACTAGGAACAAACACTGGTCAAACACTTACCTTGAACGTGATCTTTTGGAGCGTCTAGGTGATGACGACCTAACAGAATCATAAAACAACAACTTACAAACAGAACAAGTATAAATGAGTCACAACTAGAGTTTAAAGAATTGTTGTTTGAAATATTCTTCTCAAAGATGAACATTGTTCTCCTATGGTTGATAACTTGAGTTTCAAGTGGTTCCACTGCATGATAAAATGAAAATATAGTCATAATTGGCAAATATAAAGTTCACATATATCAAAATCAGTGTAAAATATCTTTGTGTATGTCCCTATAATGGCTAAGGGCATCCTTCACTCTTGACTTATCAAGGCTCTTTCTATTGGATTCAGGATATGATGATTGGTTTGAGTGTTTTGCATTACCTGGACCTTCTCCTCCTCGGAGATTGTGATCTGCAAATAAGATAACAAATATTTAGTAATCAACTTATACCACTAGCCATGATTACTTTGATCAAATACTTTGTGTATACAGTTGTAACATTGGTGGGTTTTAGTCTTACTCAACTGCTGGTCTGGAGCTCAACCTAGTTTTGAAAGCACAAAGTACTAACTAAGACCATTATTACTTCAACTAAATAAAATATCACACCATTTCAGGGAACTGGTCATTAAAAGAAATTTTTAAGTTTCCCAAACGATTTAAATATCTGGTTTCTACTTATATACTCCTTGGGGGACTACAAAGTAAATCACATAGTCAGAGCTTGAAAGTAAATCTCTAAAAGCTGTGTCTAGCTTGTTAGCCACATGCATGGCCATGTTTTCCAAGTGTGAAGCTAAAATTATTCAAAAGGGGGCTGCAATCATGCTGCAAGAAGGACAAGTTTTCAATGCACAGCTTTATCTAGCGTTTGGAAAAGTTAAAGCTATCTTCATCTGATTCCCCTGTTTTCTCAAACCAGAATCATGTGTTTTAATATGGTATTAACTTCGCCACAACTTATTCTTCAAAGAGGAGTAATGGGCAACCCAGGTAGCCTCCTCTCTCACCCTCATGAACCCCTCTGTGTTGACTCAACTAGTGGATAATTTGAAAAAAATCAAAAATATAAATTTATAGAAGCTACTTATACGGAGTAAAAAAAAAAACAATCAAAATAATAATATTAAGGAAAGTGGTCAAGGACCAGGTGCACACTAGATACCTCATGATACATATTAAGACTGCATTTAGAGATACCAAACTTATAATAGGGCATAAAGTAAGAGAGATGATGGATTTGCAAGGTTGTCTACCTCTCTCTTTCATGGTTTGGGTTCAACACATTCACTTCTGAATTACACACAATCTTTGTTGTTATCCTTGTAGTAAGGATTTTCCCTAGAATCTCCAGTTTCACTCCATTCAAGACATAAAGGAAAGATTCACATAGAAAGAGATTCTAGACAGTTCTGCTGCTGTAAAATCATGTTCAACTCTAGATTACAATGTTTTTTACCTTCTGTGTCTTCTTGGGGAAGGGGATCTGAAACAAAAGGGGAATAACATTTAATTTCAATAAAAATACAATCAAACCTTTCTACTCTACCACTTTTACAGTTGAATTCCTCCTGAAATCCACCTTGTTTCCTAATCACAAAATTTTACATGTGAATACACTGTGTTGATAAACTCCCATGAAATACCCCCCCTCAGAGATGAAAATGACTGTGATCTTTCGTTTGCACTAATAACCAAGCTTTTTCAATAAAGATGGATCTAAACTAAAGATGACAGGATGTTTGCCTTTTTGGTTTCCACATTAATACAAATCATTGATGACACTATTAGCCCAGGTCCATTTAAATCCAAAAATAAAGAGAGAGAGAGAGAATGATGCCTTCATCCAAAACTATTTATCACTAAAGCTTGGTGAATAGTCAGATTATTATTTTTTTGAAAGGCCAAAAATATTTCACCACAGAATTGCCAATTACAAAAATAATATCATTGAGGTTCTCTCCCTTAGAATTGAGTGGTACCTAATGTATCATTCATGGTACCTAGAAAAAGAGCGGTGTCTTCGTCGCTTTGGTGACCTGGATCTACTCCGTCTGCGATCTACTAAATGAAAATGGTTAAATAGAAGCATGGTGAATTAAAATAATGTCAAAAAACAATACAACTTTTTCAAGTCATTGTATCTACATGTCTGGCAGCCAAACAGGTTTTTAAAAATACCAGTATTTCATGTCCAGCAACCAGAAATTTATACAGAAACACTCTTGTTTATGTTCTTTCAAGTGTCTCAAGAGTATTAGAACTTTATTTCTAAAAATGCCAAGCACTTCCAAAAATTATGATGCCTTTTTAGTGGAAAAATGTACAAGCTTGTGCCTACCACAAAATTATGTGTAATTAAAAGCTCAGAAACTATTGGTCCACTAAAAAAACCAAAATAATTTTTGAAAGAGCTTGACATTTGTAAACAAACATCTGATACCCATGTAACAATTTATGACAGCCAGACACAGAGTATTTTAATAAGATATTTCACAGAGTAGACTTTTTGCATTATTTTAAAAAGACACAGAGTATTTTAAAGACACTTCACTTCTAAATCTCACTCTAGAATAAGATTTTTGTCTTTCAAGGAAGGAATTTCCTTTTTCAATTCTTGCATCAGGGGTCCTTGTTTCTTGTTTAAAATTTCTTGATCAAAGAAATACATTTAAAAAAATAAGTTTTATTTCTCATTTCAAGAAATACTGCACATCATAAATAAATACTGAGATTTCTTGTTTTCAAAATCATTCTCTTTTACTTAACCCTTTGCACCCTATCATCAGTATGCATATTCTCCATATTGTTCTCTATACATTTCCTTTGGTACCAACAAGGAGAATTCCTTCAACAATCAAAGCTTCTAAGGTCAGCGATCATTTCCTTTATTCTTGTGATTTCAATGTCTGATTCAGCAGTATAAATTGTAAGAAGAAATTAGATGCTGGGCTGACTCTTACAGTTCAAAGGGTTAAGAATTTTTGCATTATTTTGTGCCCTTGTTTCTAAGGACACAATTCTTCCTTTTAATTTCAAAAGGAAGATCACATTTCTAAATTTTAGAAGAAAAAAGAACCTAATTCAAGGGCGACACTTTTAAGTTTAAAAATCTTGATTTTGATGGTCAGAAAGAGTACCATATAACCCCATACATTAATTATGCATTTCACTTTGTTGTCTTTCACAACAAAACTTTAAAAACAAAGTCTACTGGTCTGAATGCATAATTAATGTATGGGGTTATATGGTACTCTTGCCTTGATGGTCTATCGAACCGATCTAAAGCATAATTATCCCACTTTACCTTGAACCTCCTATGAGTGACCAAGACAGAATTCCTCGTTACATAATCAGTACGATATCGAGTAGACAAGTGTGGAGAGTAAAGAAAGATATCAAGTAGGGGACTAAAGGTTGATCTAATAACAAATTCTATGAACATCACATGCGCAAACAGCAAGCTCAAGGAAAATTGCTAAATTTAAAGAGATCTTGGGAGTTAATGTATTAATTGCATGTACATACTTACCATCTTTTCTTCTTTCTTTTGACCGTGACCGACTACGTCTACGTTCTGTAAAAACTTCCAAAATAAAAAGTGAAAGCATAACCCTGAGACGAGCCTCAATACCTTTAATTAAGATAAATAATTCTCCTACTCAGCTGTGAAACAAACAAGTAGTAGATGTTATTCAAGACTTACCTCTGCCGCGGGGAGAGCGGCTACGACTTCTACTCCGCGGCATACCTTGGATAATATACTTAGCTAACTGTAATTAAGCGTAACGTAATCAAAACTGCGATTATTGGGAGGTTTTTTAATTATAAAATATCAAAGAGTCATGCAGACATCGACATCGACCACATCGAGGATATACAAACTGAAGGCTCACATGTGGACTAGCGGTTACTTACCTCAATGTATGAGTGCGCAATATCTAAAGTATTGCGGGCTCATATAGAGGTATCAATGGCTGGTCGTTGGCATGGTGAGAGTCTTATTTGGTCAGATGCGCTTAGATTGGTACAATGCTAGGGCGCGACCAGAGCTGAAAAGTGGAGAACACAATCAAGTCACAATTTTCGTTACCTACCTCCAACTTATAAAGCTGTCCCCTGCGAATCTTCCTACAAGTAAATTAGAGTTGACCATGTGGCCTTACAAGACAGAGCTGAATAACGTAGACACATGCGCTAGATTTTGCCGCGGAAGCACGGATTTTGAGTCGTTCGCATGAATGATTTCCTATTCTGTTGCTTCGAGGTGTCGTTTTCCTTGCCGCTTTTCTTTTACAGAACAACCTCCAAAGACTTGGTACACCGTACACCCCCTAAAAATTTTCAAAAATCAATTTTCTCCTTAAAGCCTCTGGAAATAGGAAAATACCTTCGACAAAAACAGAGTTCCTCGGTTTTAAAAGTCAGCCCTTATCATTTAGACCTTGGACACTTGAGCCCGCATCGTTGACCGCAACCCTCTGACGTAGAATTTCATAATTCAGCTCTGTCGGCTTACAATGGAACTAAATGCCACCAAACGAGTTTGGTTCAAGTCGTCTTTAATCTTTAATCTTTAATAAGTATCTTAAATAAGTAAAGATTAAAGATTAAAGATTAAAACTACCAAACGAGTTTGGTTCCAGTCCTCTAGCCAAGATGGTAGTCACATGGCCTGGGACGATGATAGGAGTGACGAATGCGATGGACACCAGGCCAGTCCTTGTATATGATGGACAAACCATAAGCTACAAATGAAAACGGAAGATTTTTAAACTGTCTGTGAAGGTATTTCTGAACTTTAGTCTAATACATTACCCGTTGTCATGGCAATAAAATTTTTCTTTCATTCATTCGTGCCAGTCCGTTAATCAGTAGAGGCTTTCTTAAGATTTTGAGCTGAGTTTGTTGTACAAACTTTATAGAATAAATCTTGTAACGTTCTACTACAGATGCTGCAATCTGATGGCTAAGTCATATGCATTCTGTTAAAAATAGTGATTGTAAACACAATATGATAGAAACACGAACCTGTCTTTTTGTTGACTGTTGAATGACTAGTAGATTTCTTTCGAAACAATTAGTTTATTCTTTCTTGATTTTTTTGCGTGATGTTTCATATTTGATTCGGGCATCGCCCTTTTCAAGTATCACGCGAATCTATCGCATAATCTAATTGCTGATTAGTTTTACTTTAAAGTTGTGAGTGACAGTTTTGAATAGAATCTTTTAAAAGTAAATATGGAACATTTTACGAAAAAAAAATTGTTCGTACAGCTGTCAATACTGATACGGTGCCCTTTTTTCCCCTACTTTGGGGTCATTGCAGTTTTTCAATCACTTGTCACGGTCTGACTTCATTCAAAACACGGATCATTGCCTAGGCTCCACGATGTCGCTCAGAGGTAATTACTACCCCGGGGCAATACTTGTCAGAGTTAATGCGACTTCAAGTTTTCCTTCTCTTTTGCACGGAAACACCTCACGCAGTTGGAGTTACTTCTTTTTTCTTATTAACAGCTAACTCCTCTGAGAAAAGCCAAGTCACATGCCAAGCTCGAGGTGATAAAAGGTAACTAATCCCTTGGTTGAGGTCCAAGATGTAAAATCAATTCGATTTTATAGCATTGAAACGCACCTTTAAGCGATTATATTTTCTCTCCCTTACACGTTTTCTTGGTACCCCTCCAAATATGACTTCGAAGTTGCCTCTCCGCAGCTCAGGTTAATTTAAATAAGGAAGTTTAGTTAAGGTAAAACTTATACATACAAAGGAAGGATTTGTTTTTGCAAAACAGCGATCACATTTCACACAGCTAGGTAGATTTGTTAAGTATGGTTTGTTTTACCAAGAGATTAACTTAATTCCCTTAGTATGTCAATGAACTGAATCGCTCCCTGCTGCGTTAGAAAATGAAATGTTCTCCAGACAACGAGGTGTTATATTCCAATCTCGTGAGAAAACTTGAAGTGTCTCGATTGAATTTTGTCTTCCAGGGCAACGGTGGACTAATTTACGTGTATAACTGTTCTAAAACCAGACTGTATCAGATAGCGGATCTGACCTTCCCTCAATAATGGAAAAACTCCATTGGCTGCTTTGGAATGTGGCAATTTTTTTATTAATCCTTTTCAGAGGTAAGATTGCTGAAAACTGTTTCGCTCAGTTAAAGTCCAGAAAGAGAACTACTGTGTTGATTACATAAGGATGTTTTTAAGTCGTTTAACAAATGCAAAGGGAATTCAGCCAGCAGTTCTAAATAACCAGTTAAGGAGCTTTATGAGTCAAGTAAGTAAGCTAGACCAAAAGGTCTCTCGTCGACACAATTTCCTATAAATAAGAGGAAATATAGCCATGGTCGAGCTGGTCGGGCTCACAACTAGACCCATTGCAACAATAAAAAGAATCAAATAAAATCGAAATGATTAATTGTTAGGATGAAAGTTTTACCTTGACTGAACCAAAATTCGGGTTCTACTTGATGACTAAAATTCTGTGTCGTGGTTTAATGGAATACTACTAAATTCAGACGCTAGCTGTGAAAATATTTTTACTGAGTCATTGATTTACAGACTTGTTCACTAATTCGTTCAGCTGAGAAAGCCATGCCAAACCCTTTCAAGTCAGTGAGTTGCACGTCGCAAGCAATGAATCCTTGCTCTATAGTCGCGATGAAAATAGTACTTTATTTTTTTTTTTGTCTAGGACGCTAATTAAGTGTCTGATGAATCAACTTTTTATAGGGAAAACTAGTTCGAAATTTCACACATACAGTCTGTCTTAGATACATACAGAGCAGAATCTGGCTTAATGACAAAAATTCAGTGAGAGAAACGCGTGGGAATCGCAGGATTCGTAACTAAGATGTACTTGATCGAAGAACTTGGGCGAACGTCTCATAAAAACCAGACAAGACAAATATAATCGCGTGTCGGCTAATTCCTTTTTCATTCAATCATGGAAATACAAGTAACCACAGGGGCTCTGTCTGCAAAGATTCATATATAGAAACGAATCAATTCGTTGGCGAGACAGAATCAAAATATTCCGCAATTACCGGCTACTAATGCTTACATAGTACAGGATTTAGAACAATCGCGACTTGTTCAAGGAGCTTATGATGCAAATTAATCGCCACTTGACAACAGCTCATTCATATGTTCTGCACGGTAATTATAGGTTGTTTGCACTTTATGTCATCGCCGCCATGTTGGTGAACGTAAACAATAGACATCTTATTAGCTCCTTTTGTTCGTCCACTAGCATTTGTTCCTTTCACCGTTGTTACCTGTGCAAACCACCTATAGTAGGGTCACATAAAAAAGAAGCGGGAACGTTCTCTTACAAGTTAGGATTACCACTTTTGATCACAAAAAGACAGAAAGACAAAGATTGCCATCCGGTTGTACATTATTGAATGATTTTGTTTGATTTCATGAAATTAATTCAATATGAAAACCGATTTACCAATTGATGCTGTTCTTTTACGTAGGAGTCACAGCCTTTGGTCGAGAAGGTTCGTTGGTTTCCTATTCTCATCTTGTCTTAATTGAATCCAAAAGTGGACAGCTCGGAAAATATAGTCAGATACAATCCACAAGCCAATTAACTCGTTCAAGCACGCCATCTCCTCCGCCTGACCATAGTGAAGAACTCATGTTTGTCTCGTCGGCTTTTAGATCTTCGTCAGTAAAAACGACAAATTTTGACAACGATGGCTTCATTCCAAAATCGAGTTTGACTGCACGACCAATAAAAGGCTATGAATTATTTGCGACTAGCAGATCAACGCAGATAAATCAAATTGAATCTTTAGCCAAAAAAAGTGACTGGCAAACTAGTGGGACAACATCTGCTGAAGTTAAAGCCACCTATCCCTCCTTTATTTTTACCTCCTCCTCTTCTTTGTCTTCCTCTTCAACACCCAAGCTGCTATCCTCGTCCTCACTCTCTCCTTTACGCTCCTTTTTATTCACCAACCCAGTCTCATCCTCTTCATCAGCATCGTCTTTATCCACGTCTCTCTCGTCATCTCCATCCTCCTTGTCATCAATATTTTTGTCTTCGTCCTCTTCATTCTCGCGGCCATCCTTCCCTTTCTATTTCTCCTCGGTCTCCTCTGATACCTCCTTATCATCAACCTTATCTTCTTCCCTCTCACCATCACCCTCGTCTTCCCATCCGTCAACCTCCCTCAAGCCGTCATCCTCATTTTCTTCATTGGTTTCTTCGTCTACATCGTCTAGATCGTCTTCATCGTCTCCATCTCCCTTACCCTCATTATCATTAACAACTCCTTCCTTCTCCTCATCAACAATTTTTTCATCGACGCCAGCTTCTTCGTTATTCTTATTTTCCAACTCATCGTCAACATCCTCCTCGTCATCATCACCTTTACCATTCTTGGCTTTGTCCTTGTCGCCATCCCTGTCTTTGTACTCCACCCGAACCTCTTCGTCGTCATCATTATCCTTTGACTCGTTTTCATCCTCATCCCTGTCTTCCTCTTCAACATTCTCTTCCTCCTCCTCGTTCGGCCCCTTATCACCATTATCTTCCTTGTCTCCGTCCCTCTCGCCTTCCTTGTCCTCCTATTCATTATCTTTCCCCTCCTTATCCTCGTCATTCTTACCTTCGTCCTCGACGCTATCCTCATATTTCTCTTCGCCATTCTTCTTCTCATCATCGTCCTCCTTCTCATTATTATTGTTTCCGTCTTCCTCACCTTCATCACCTTCCCTCTCATCCTACTCCCCCTCCTCCTCAACATCATCTTCATCATCGTCCCTCTCAACCTCTTCCTCCTCCTCCTTCTCAACCTCGTCTTCATCATCCTCCCTCTCCTCCTCCTCCTCCTCCTCATCCCCATCTTCGTCATTCTCCCTGTCATCCTACTTCTCCTTCTCCTCAACCTCATCTTCATCATCCTCCCTCTCCTCCTCCTCCTCCTCCTCCTCATCCTCAACCCCATCTTCATCATCCTCTCTCTCAACCTACTCCTCTTCCTCCTCCTCGTCCTACTCAGCCTCGTCGTCATTATCATTTTCATCCATCTACTCTTCTTCCTCTTCTTTGTCATCATCATCACTATCGTTGTCTTCAACCTCGTCGCAATCGTTATCCTCATCTTTGCCATCCTTCTCATCTTTATTCTTATTATTACCGCCGTCATCATCATTTTCTTCATCTTCATTGTCATCATCGGCTTCCTCGTCATCCTCCTCCTATTCTTCCTCTTCGTCTCTCTCATTATCCCTCGCATTATCATCATCAACATCACTATCTTTGTCTTCATCCTCATCGTCACTTTTATCTTCGTCTTTGCCTTACTCCTCCTCGTCATCATCATCGTTATCAATGTCCTCGTCACTACCTATTTCCTCGTCGTCGCCATCTTCCTCCTCCTCCTCCTCCCCCTCATCATCATCATCATCATCATCATCATCGCTGTCAGCATCACCATCATCTATAATGTCGATTTCTGCTCGGTCGTCTTTCTCATCGTCATCATCGTTGCCCCTCTCACTCCTACAACCTCTTCCCACTTCAGCTCGATCCTCATCCTCCTCGACAGCACCGCTAACGAAGTTTGTATCATCTTCTTCACTGTCGTCTACTACATCGATGTACCTTGAATCAACCAAAAAAGTGATCCCTACCAGTGGTCCAGAAAAACCTACCAGTCCAACACCCGGTAAAACCTGGAGAGCGACGCTTACTATCCAAAACATGGAATTTACTGAAGGATTAACCGATCCTTCATCGGAAGAGTTTATGAAATTAGCAAATGAATTGGAGGATGTCTTGGATGATATTTTTAAGCCTGAAATATCTGGTTTTCTTTCCGTGGAAGTTGTTAACTTCAAGAAAGGAAGCATTGTGTGCGATTTCCTTATTTACACGGAGTTAGAATCTTCAGCCACGGCTGACAATTTTAGTGATGTCTTGTCAGCTGCCATTAATAAAGGAGAAGCTAAAAAGTTTAAGATCACATACTTCACAATAGAGGAAGAGGAAGAAGAGGAAGAAGAGGAAGAGGAAGAAGAGGAAGAAGAGGAAGAAGAGGAAGAAGAGGAAGAGGAAGAAGAGGAAGAAGAGGAAGAAGAGGAAGAAGAGGAAGAAGAGGAAGAAGAGGAAGAAGACGTCGACGTAAAGAGTGTTATAGGGACAAAGGAACGAAAGAACGAGTTTCCTCTCAAAGTGTTTGCCGCGGCAGCGTTTGGAGCATTGGTGGTTTTGGTCATAGGCTTCGTACTTTACAAGGTTAGTACTTGGAAATGTTTCTTTGACCATAAGATTCTCAAAGAGGCAAATGGGACAAGAGAGATATGACGAGTTAGCTTAGACTAAAACCGTGGATTGCGTCGAAGGCGTGCTCTGATTGGCTACTCAAATTCCGAATATTGCTTTTCTAATGTTCTGATTAGTTCACTCAACTCTGGTTATATGAGCTCGTATTCCGAATCATCTTATAGGGAAAAACATTGCGCTAATTGTTGCGGGGAAAAAGCTCCAGATATCCAAACGTTCAGGATTCGATAAAATTTGATGAAACGGTGATTCCATTCGCTTAATAATTGGTAACTATTCACCACTAAGCAACGCCCGAAAATATCCTAATCGTTGTAGGAATAAATGAGTTATAATCATCTTTTTGTGTTATATCATCTCACTGTTTTTAGCATGTACTAGAACAAGTATTCTCTTCAGTGACGGTGGCTAACGGTGGAATTTATCTCAGTCGCCGCTTCGCGCCTCCGCAAATATTTACAACAGTGTTAGTCACCTGCACTTAAGTGAATAGTTGTTAATCAAATAAAGTCTTGATAAAAATTAGGTTTTTTCTATATAGAAAGAGAGAGCCAATTTGATCTTGGGTCGTACATCTGCGTTGTCCTACTAAAATTACCATTCAATGCAAATTTTAGTTCGTGCATATCAACGAAAACAAATTTTGATAAAGGGAGGACAAATTACCGTGGACAGAAATGATCCAAGTACGCAGATCATGATGATGCAGTTTTTCCCTTAAATCTGACGTATAAGCGTTGCTAGTATAAAATTTTGCATGCTTGAATTTATGAAGTCCATAAACGTTGATGAAGAACAGTCAAGAACGGTCATCTCTTTCGAGGAGGGGTGTGTACTCTGTTTACGTAATGATAACAACATATTACGTAGAAGAACATGCTATCAATACATATCTCTTTCCATTCTTTGTAAATTACTAGAGAGTCAGCCGAAAAAGGAGAGAGCGTGAGGGCTTTAAAAATACCAGGGATATCATTCCGTTGAACGACTTCAATTCACCAAATAATAATGAAGAAGGAGAAGGAGAGCTTGCCTCACAGAAAATACGAATCAGTAATTACGAAGACAAAGAAGAAGATGAAGACGAAGTAACACCATTTTGCAAACCGGGCGTCAAAAAAATGAGTCCTGTGTGACGTTAATTAGTTAATAATAATATTTAAGCAATTTGACAATCAAAATTTTCCCTTCTTGGTTTCATTCAGTAAGCCAATGATGTTGCTTTTGTTATCAGCTTTAAAAAAAAACAAAACAAAAGCGCCTGCCTTTGACCCGCTAAATTGTAACCAACCAGGTGCAAGATTTTCCCGCGCTTAGGGATAATGAAATTTATTGGCTGTGCTTTTGCGCTTTTGCTTTTTTTTTTAAGCAGAACTGTCTTATTGGAGCACAAGACGTGAACATTCATCTGCGTTAACCGAAGGATACAGAAAAAGAGTTGCGCGGCAACTGATCACCATCGATCGATGGAAAGTGTTCTTTATGACTAGCTAGGAAGTAATCGTTTTTTATGTTTTCAGAGGGCAACATAAACGTTTTAGCTTTTGTTGTCCTTTTTAATGTAGTTCTAGATAAGTTACTTGTTAAACTTTGTTCCTGGAGTGAGCAGATAACGTTTTCAGAAGGTGATAGGGTTCTCAGTCGTATACAGAACCTTCATATGGAAATTTTAGGGAGCCAGGGGCGCAGCCTCATAGAAGCATAACAGCGTGTGGGTAGACTTAAAGCATAATTATAGATAATGAAAATAAAATGAAAAAGATTTATAAAGTGGAGTTCCTTTAACCAGTAATTAAATATTAAGAATCAACGCAAAGTATAGCTCAACTTGAGCTCGCCAGTCATTTTGCGGTAAAAAGCATACATTGTGTAAACGGTGACACACAAGTCATTTCTTACACCAAACTGGTTCCTGTCTTGGGTGGTGAACGTCTGAACTGAGAGAGAGCGTGCCTTAGACAGGGCCGTAGCTAGCATGAGGCAAGACGAGGCAATTGCCTTGTCTTGATTTTGGCCTTTTTTTACAAATTTTTTCTCGAAGATTGACTTTTCTGAAGAAAAATGCCACGAAAAATTCTTAAAAGAGCATTTCTGAACCTCTAGATCTCAAAATTTCCTGGGGGGGGGGGCATGCCCTCAGACCCCCCCTAGCGGCTCGCGCCTTCGGCGCTTGAAAACTGCCTCGTCTTGTCCTGAAGTCTGGCTACAGCCTTGCTCAAGATTTCTCAAGATGTTCACGCCCTTTAGGTTCTCACTAAGGAAAGATCTAGCAACGCCCCTGGTGACAAATTCTCTTTATTCCGTCTCGTTTATGCAATATGGGGAGGGAATTTTTCGGAATCTGAGTGCAGGTACCAAAGAAGCTGTTCGTTTAGTCATGGCTACCCATCAGTAATTCGCTTAGAGTCACCAATTGTGTGTGTGTGTGTGTGTGTGTGTGTGTGTGTGTGTGTGTGTGTGTGTGTGTGTGTGTGTGTCTCCTCGCCGTACGATTAGTAGATCAGGACGATGGATCAAAGCTAAGACACAAAACCAATTTTAAAGGCCTGATTATATTTATC